TCTATTACTGCATTTCAACTACCAAAAACTGTCTCAATCCTCCTTCCCCAAGCAATTGCTACAAGTGAAAAGATACGTCCCAAACTCCACAATTCTCCTTCCTTCTCCCACGAGTGATGGCCTTTTCCACTTCACACAACTCCTCTCCAGCACTTGCCAACAGCTACACATACTCAAGACCACAAGAAGCCCATAAACTTGCCTCCACGCTTTCCAAAAACCACTCAATTCATTGCTAACATCACTTATAGACCCAGCCACCCCTCAGGGAATCGTATTTGTTCCTGTATCTGAAAACCCCCAATGGAGTTTAACTTGCTCAGTTCTCTGAAACATCCTGCAAATGCATCCTCCTCCACAATGGAAATGGCAAGCCCTCCCACTTGTTCCAACCCCGCCGATTCACAGAAAAGAAGGGGCAGAAAGAATGTAAGCATAGATGGACTGATGAATTAAATAAATTAGAAAATAAATGGTGAAGTATACCAATGCCTCCAACTAGGACTTGAGAGCCGGATATGCCCCACAGATGTTTTGTTTCGTCAAGCAGGTGTTTTAACCAGAGCCAACATTTAAAAGTAAGAAAAGAAAGAGGAATATCCAGATTTCAGCCTTCTTTGGAGAAATGTAAAGATCCGGCAACCCTAAGCCCAGGTCCCTGTGAAGTGACAAGGGCTGAAGCTGAATAGCACCTGTTTCCTATTTCAGACAATCCCCCAGCTTCACTGTCCCCCTACCTGGCCTGCTTTACCGATGCTTCAGTGGGCATGCTGGGGACATCTGAATTTGCTACTCCTGAACTACAGTAAACTATGGTTAATAACAATCTTCAGTGATTGTTTAAGAATGATCTTTTGTGAGAACCTAGCACTAGACAAAGTATCCTCTACCAGGCCACTTTTGGCTCAATGATTATCTTAAAGGATTCCAAATAATGTGTATTATGGTCTTTTAAGACAACCCTAGTAAACCTGTAAACAGTGATTGAAGGACTAAACATAAAGGCCATTTGGAACAGAATGCCTGAACTAAAAAAATCAAAATCAGCAGAGTAGTTAATAGAGTTTGAAAATCCCATACATGTTTATGTTAAAAAGAATTTATGACATATACAGAATAAGATGGAGCAGTTCTCTGCAAGAGTGATATGTTTAAATAAACAGTATTTCATATTTAGCACTTTAAATATTTCCAACATTAAAAATCTATTTTTTCATCTGACGTTGACAAAACCCGTGCTATAAATATAAAGTTGGCTAGGCAGATCTTGTTTTCCCCTCACAGATACCAAAGCATAAAGACGCCAAGAGCCTTCACTAAGGTCACCCAGCTAGTTAGTATGGCAAAGACAGGAGCAGAATCCAGCTGTGCTAACTCATAATCCTGTGCTCCATCCACTTCAATACATTGTTGCTGCCTCTTATCCACTCGATATCCTACAAAGGATAGGAAAGCTATTCCAGGGATTACAGAGAAATGTGGTTCCACAGGAGACTGGAAGAATCCATTCAATGATTCTGCACCAAAGTCTCCAAAATTCCTTCCAATTTCAAGAATGGAACTGGCCCTTCTGCTCACTTTCAAATCTCCAGTCATTTGATTCCATAGGCACTACACACTACTGTTCAGTAGTACATTTGTGTATCATATATATGTCTCATCTTCCCAAATATTTTGAAAGTTCCAGGAGAGGGCAAGTATCATGCCCCTTTATACATTCAATACAAATGCTTACTTTATTATTTATACAAAAAACTATACCTCTTGTTCCAAAAAACAAAGAACTAGAAGTGACCTTAAGTGAATTTCAGAAATAATGATAAGGACATCTAAATTATAACATGAAGGAAACAAAAGTAAGAAGAGAAGGTGGCCAGTTTTATGTTTTATAAACCTCCAAGAATTGAGTCCTCTTTTTGTCACTGCGAAAAAAAAATTTTTTAAGGGAAATGTAACCTTGGTGGGTTAACATTTTACAAGATTTTACATACAATATTTAAAAGTTTCTTTATTTAAAATATACATATACATATAATATATGCATAAGTATAAACAGACATAGACATCGGACTTTGCTACCTCTGAACACCAAAAAATCTTTGTTGTTTAGGAGTGATCTTTTGTGACAGCCCAGAGCCTAGAGCTGAATGAGGTGTCTTCTCTCAGGTCACTTTTAGCTTGATGATTTTCTTACAAGAGTCCAAATAATTTGCTATAATACACATATTTAATACCTGTAATATGCATAGGGCATAAAGGCTTCATAAGGTAAGACATTTTAAATCCTCCACTTAGAATGAAAACAAGACAGTGAGTAAAATAAAAATCTAGAGAGCAAATACAGATAACAAGAGCAACATTTTATCCCTGCACAATGACAGTACCTGGAGATATCCCAGTTATTTGGAACTCAATTTTACACATCAACCAACCTCTTCAGAACATTGGTTTTTCCATGCCAAGTACCATCCAAAGGCTCCTCAAAAATATTTTTTTTAAAGATTTTATTTATCTATTCATGAGAGAGGCAGAAATACGGGCAGAGGGAGAAGCAGGCTCCATGCAGGGAGCCTGACATGGGACTCAATCCTGGGTCTCCAGGATCATACCCTGGGCTGAAGGTGGCACTAAATCACTGAGCCATCCAGGCTGCCCCTCCCTAAAAACATTTAATGCTAACTATGAGGCAACACATCATATACTGAATCACAACACTTATAGGATCATATGCTAGGAATTTTTCCATTTGCGAAGGACAATTCTAATCCGTAGTTTCATAACCTATGCAAAATTAAGTACTCTAATGTAGTGCTGGAGAGAATGGAAATTGGTAACTTAGAAACTTGTAATATATACCCAAACTAAAAAAACACGTAAATCTTTTGACCTAAAAAATTCTACTTCTGGGAATCTGTCCAACAGATAAACTTGCAAATGTGTGAAATGTCATGCTACAAAGTAATTTAGTGTAGCACTATTTATAAGAGCAAATTTTTGGAAAGGACTCAGATCATTTTGGAACTGGTTAAATAAATTGTGGTATGTCCATACAATGGAATACCATGAAGCCCTAAAATAAGGAGAGATAAGAAAACTCTCTTTGTACTGATATGAAAAAAAAAATCTCCAAATTAGAGTACCTGAAAAAAGCAAAGAGTAGAATTGTATATTCTGTAATATGTGTAAAAAGAGATGTGGGGGCTGGGGGTAATATATGTATATACAGAGATATACATAAAATCTCTCTGAAGGACCCCAAAAAATGTTACATGCCTCTAGGAAGTGAGATTATGTAGGTGAACAACAGAATGAAAGATTTTTCATTCCATAACTTTTGAGTTCTGAACCATGTAAATACATTGCCTGGTTAAAACATTAAATTTAACCAATGTATTAACTTGTAAAACAAACCCATAGGGGTGCCTGGCTGGCTCAGTCAGTAAAGCATGCAACTCTTGATCTTGGGGTCATGAACTCAAGCCTCATACTGGGTGTATAGATTACTTAAAAATAAAAATCTTCGGGCAGCCCGGGTGGCTCAGCGGTTTAGCGCCACCTATAGTCCAGGACCTGATCCTGCAGACCTGGGATCGAATCCCACTTCAGGCTCCTTGCATGGAGCCTGCTTTTCCCTCTGCCTGTGTGTCTCCACCTCTCTCTCTCTCTCTCTCTCTCTCTCTCTCTTCCACCTCTCTCTCTCTCTCTCTCTCTCTCTCTCATGAATAAATAAATAAAATCTTTAAAAAAATAAAATAAAATAAAAATAAAAATCTTAAAAAAAAAGCCACAGTATGTTAGGATTTCTAATTTGAGAACATTATATTGTAATTAAACACTACAGTTTAAGTAACAATTTTTGCTATTCTTTCCATCAAAACACCCACAAGTCCATCCCTAAAATTATCATATAGTCACAGAATATAAAGCCAGAAGAAGCCTCGAAAAATATTCAAAAAAAGAAAACCATGGTCTGAAAAGATTAAATAATTTCCTCAAAGGACAGTATGTTGGTGGTCAAGTATGGCCCACACAGTGACTCACATTCCAAACTATTTTCATATATTTCCCTGACCCCAAACAGATTCTTCATTAGCACAAGAAGCCAACAACTGTCAACCAAGACCCCAGTTGCATCTGGAGGATGACATGAACGACAGAGCCAGTGTAAGCTGACCTCCTATTTCTGTGAGATACTTTCCAATGCTCACAGAAGAACCAGAAGGGGTCTTGCTTTTCTTGAGTTATGTTTTAGCAAAGTGGCCATGGAGTAAAACCATAGGATAAACATGGGGAGGGAGAGAGATTTCCTATAATCTCAATTATACCAGAAAAATGTGAGAAAAAAATGTTAAGCAACTTCACAATCAGGTAATCAGAATTTACTTTTATATTAAAACAAATATCAATCTATTTATGGCATAGAATGTAAAATGTACATGAATTTTTAAGGTAAATAAGACACTTTCAAAGAAATTTCATGCTGCTACTGATTGATTCTGCTCCCAGAAATGTGTATCCTAGAAATACACACATTCATTCTCTTAAACTCTAATGAGGCAGGAAGGCTTGAGAACTACTACACCAAAGGCATTAAAATAGCCTTCTCAATGGCAGTAGAAAAGGCAAAAGATGAGAGCCAGGCAGATCTGGCTAAACACCCTGGTTCTTGCCACTGTGTAACCTTGAACTCAGAGCATCAGTTTCTTCATGGGTAAAATATGGTCAGTATTACTTAATATGTAGTTTTACTATAACAATGGTAGATAATATATGTTAAGCAAGCTGCCTGGACTCTAGAAGGAGTACAATAAATGATGGCTACTATTATAGCCATCACAAACCTATCAGAATCTTTGTCTAGCCATTTATTTGGATTCAATTTATGAGACTAAAATAAAGTGGGCAGTGGATATTATAAGCCCTCCCAATCAGTCACCAAGAGAGAAAAAAAAAAAGGCCAATAAAGTAAAATTACCTAAATGCAAATATATTATACTCACATATTTCATTTCAAACTTCTTAGCCAACATTTCCACTTCTTGCCTCTCTTGATGTTCATCATTAAATGGGTCTTCTGTGTGAATGGGCTTCTTCTGATTCAAAGTAAATAGGAAAAGAAATAGAAGTATTAATATTACTTCAACCAGAGTTGAATATATCCTTAAACTTAAGAGTTAAATTTTCCAAATATTAACACAAGTAAGTTAGAAGCATTAAAAGTAACTACAAAGAAATGTTGGTTTGTAGCAAAAACACTTGCAGCTTTAACGGATTCTTACACATTCTCAAGTTTTTCGGTGGTGAAGAACTCAACAATTCAAATAGTCTCCTCTCACAAAATGGTCTGTGGTCACCCCTCTCCAAAATAAAAAGACCAAAAAAAAAAAAAAAAATCCCCAAGAAAATTAAGTGAAAATGAAAATCCCATTTATAACTCTAGTTTGAGATCTTCCCAACAAAGATAACCGCTTTAACCACGAAATACTTCTCAAAGAATCTCCAGGTTATTAATCAGCATCAACACTGAATCATCTGCCCTGAGCTATCTATCACAAGGGTATCTGTAGCTGCTTCAGCCTTCTGTTGAGGCTCAGCATCAAAACCTCAATCCATACCACTATCCTTCTTGTCCATGGATATTCATTCAGGGAGTACATACTTTTAAACAAAGCTAGAAAAGTGAAAGCTGGGCAGCCCGGGTGGCACAGCGGTTTGGTGCCGCCTTCAGCCCAGGGCGTGATCCTAGAGACCAGGGATCGAGTCCCACGTCGGGTTCCCTGCATGGACCCTGCTTCTCCCTCCGCCTGTGTCTCTGCCTCTCTCTCTCTCTCTCTCTCTCTCTGTCTCATATGAATAAATAAACATGAATAAATAAATAAAATCTTAAAAAAAAAAGAAAGAAAAGTGAAAGCTGCAAATAAAAAAGTTACATTACCGTGGCTTCCTTCTAGCCGGGGAGGATGAAAGTTTAACATAATACATGGCTTTAAAAAAACCACACACACAGCTAGGATCCCACATTTACCATCTATTTACCAAAACAAACAAAAAGATAAATCACGTCCTTTACTCAAGTTTACTATTTTAGCAGACACATTTCATTATACATAGAGGTTTTCAATTCAAAAAGGGGGAAGGGGCAGCCCTGGTGGCTCAGGGGTTAAGCGCTGCCTTCTGCCCAGAGCGTGATCCTGGAGACCCAGGATCAAGTCCCACATCGGGCTCCCTGCGTGGAGCCTGCTTCTCCCTCTGCCTGTGTCTCTTCCTCTCTCTCTCTCTCTCTCTCTCTGTGTCTCTCATGAATAAATAAATAAAATCTTAAAAAAAAAAAAAACAAAAACAAAAAGGAGGCGAGGAGCTGCACATGAATTAAAATGATAAACGCTACTTGTACCTAATTATGGATGGCTGACTACAAAGTTAAGTTTTAAAAAAAGGAAGGCTAGATGTTTTTACTGAATTACATCTTCAAGTAATTAAAAATAAAAATATTACAACTGAAATACTGGATACAGAAAAAAGTACAGAAGGGACTAAAGATCTGCACACTTTGGAACTAAGACACTTCATTCTGGATATGAAAGCTATGATTAGTCTAAAAATATGACAGAAAAATATGAAGAATATAAAACAATCAGATCTAGGGCTTTAGAATAAAAGATACTTTTAAACTTTAAAAAACTGATCTTAGAATTTATTTTTTTAAGTATCTATTGTAATAAGTAATGTATTTACAGAATCCTTTATCCCAGTAGGAGTTACCAGTGGAAAAAATATATATGATCTGAAAGGAATAAATAAACCAGCAGGAAGAGATTGATAATGAAATAAGAAATACTAGGTATGCTCAGGGGGATAGCCTTAACTTGAGACTGAAGGACACTGGGCAACCACCATGCTTTGACATTATCAACTTTACTTCACGTCACTGTGAAGGTCTTACTACTGGTCTGCCCCATTTCATGAACATATATTTTTACTAAGAATCACCTTATATACCATTATATAATATTCTGTATAGAATATATATAGAAAAGAATCAAAAGTAACTCTTACTCTTGATAGTCTATAAAAATAGAGTTAAGAAAAGTGACTCACTTTTCTCTCAGATTTAAGGAATAAACCCCTACCCACAATCAAGGCTCTAAGTAAGCTTTCTATTTTTCAGGTGAAATGACGATCTGCAAATCAGTAAATATCAAAATTATCAACTACCCACAGGTAATAACATTGTAATAATTTTGTCCTTTGATGTTAACTCATTAACACCATCCTCAGATCTTTCACATTATTGAAAATATGCAGTATGACAAGCAACATAATAGCCCAGAAATCTCTAATAGTATTAACTACATTGGCACTATAATAACTTATTTTTCTTTTCATAGTAAATGCTCAATTAATCATGTTCACAAGTGGATATTCTGGTTAACGGATTCTCTGGTTTACTAAGAGTTAAACAAAATTTACTTGCTTATCAAATTACTGCCAGAACTTATTTCTAAGTTCTGTACTATTACTCTTTAGCCAGAAACGGTAAACAAATTATCTTTGAGGATAGAGATGATTGCAATGCCTCAGTCATCATCTTGAACCACCTCAATCAGGGCTTAGTAGTCTACAGAGGTAACAAGGTTAAGGGTTTAGTTAACCTGTGTCCTTAAACCTGACAAGAAGGGCTTTTTTCATACTTTGCCAACATACGCTCATTTAACTATGCTTTTCCTTTTTATTAAAAAAAATAAGAGTACACAAAAAATTCTGACTGCATTCAGTTCATCAAGGTTTTAGTGTTTATTTTGTATTTATGAAGGGGGGGTGATTTAAATGTATCCCAATATAGATGGTATTCACATGTGACAGATTTATACCAATAACATAAACTAAAATCTTATTCAAGATGGCTATTTCAAAATTTAGAATCTTTTTTATTTTATACGATCTCTTTCCCTCTTTCTATTTAAACTGTTACGTGATAAGTTGTTCAATTACAACTCAAAATTTAGACTATTTAGAAAATATTAAACATCCTTAAAAATAACTAGACAAAAAAAAAATAAATAACTAGACTTCCCTTGAGGGGAAGAAAAACCAAATTTGAGAATCACCATTCTGCAGATCAATTCTATTGATCTCATTTTGCTTTTTGTTGGTTTCTACTACCAGGATTTCCATTCATGGAAATATGACAACCTCATTGAGAGAAATGTTTTCTATAATTCCTCATGTAATAAATATGTTCATTGGGAGTAATCATAGATAAATCTGCCAAAACTCAGGTCACAAATGTGCATTGTATTTTTTGTCCAGAATACAACAAATAATATGTGGCTGAATATATAAGAAAATTTGACCAATATAACCCTAAATTCATAGTATAAACAGAAAAATTAAACTGAATTATTTATCTTTCATGTACTAGTTACATAAAACTAGTAATTCTGATTATTAGATTAACAAGGTAGGGTGTCAAAATTAACTTTTTGGTCATAATTTAAACATATATCTATGATTAATTTATCATGGCATGACTATCATAGCATTAAAGAGGCTCATACAGAAATCTCTGTATGTCTACCGTAATTCTCATTTTAGTTCACTTTGGCAGGATCCTCTACATTTAAACTATACAATTTTAAGAAATTTTGTTTGACTAAGAATTGGTATTAGTATGGAAAGAAGTACTAATAAAATTACGCGCTTTGTGCACTAGCCTCATTTGTTAGGTGGGGGGATAATGGCTCCTACCTCCAGGAGCTCTGCTGAACTAAATTCCATAAGCCATGTACCTTACTGAGAACTGTGTCTAGCAACCACACAGGAAGAATTCAGCAAATGTTAGCTACCATAACATAGCTCACGATTTATGAAGTAGGTTAAGGAGTAAAACTGCAAACTCACTTAGAGTAGGAGATCAAATACAATTTATTTGAAAAATGCTCCGGTCCAATGTTTTCAAAATTCTTGTGGGGAAAAGAAGAAATAACATCACATTTATAAATAGTAGGGGCACTAGAGTGAATCTGAAGGATACAATGTTTGTGCAAATGGCCAGAATGATCTCTACCCTTAACAAGTCTTTTTGGTTGCAAACATTTAGTACTGATTTGACCACACAACAATATTTGTAAATAATGATCAAAAGATTAACTGGCCTTAAAATAAACAAAACCCAGGGACACTGTTTAACATATTTTTAAACTAAAGAATCATTCATTCAACTATAAAGATAGTTGAGAATGAAAACAAATGACTTCTGGGATCCATTAGACCTGTGCTAAAGCAACACCTGATAAAGAGCATAATCTCTGAACAACAGAGGAAACTGTTCTCTTACGTTTCCCTTTCTAGCTTGCGTCTAAATACCACCAAAACCTACAATAAAAATGACCATCACCAACAAACCTCTCTCCTATCTCCCTTGTTCACCAGTTCCATCGAAGGCACACCTATGTATTTTCGACAGTTCCTAAAAAGTCAAACCTGTTTTGGTTTTGGTTTTTTTCCCCATCATTCTCCAAAAATTACAACGGCCGGTGCAACACCAACACCCTCCAGCTTTTGGACCTATAAGCTAATGATACACACTCAAATAGGAGTATTATGGGTCGGCGCCAAAAAAGCAGAAGACACCTTCCATTCAATCACAGTTTAAAAAAAAAAAAAAACTCTATAGAGAAGACAAAGCTAAATAGGTTTACCAATACCAACGTGAGAGAAAAAGAACCAAATAACTAACCCACTTCATCATTCCTACAGTGGAATCTTCAGTCTGAAGACGTTTACTCTCAAACCCCTTCAAAGAAGAGAAACAGCCCACGCACGCAAGCACATCTCAGGCGCCAACCATAACAAACAGTGATGAAGAGGAGGATGACACGGAGGGGTGACACTACCTCGCTGCTTGCATTGGGGGGCGTGTCCCCCAAGGTTTTTCTTCTTTTCTACTGGAACGACTGCTGGAGCTCCGCAAGGAAAAGCCAACCACGTAGCTTGCAGAGCACCCCCCCCGCCCCCAATTTAGTGTGGGGAGCAGAAAGGAGTCAATTCTGAGGTCGCGAAAGGTGCAGAGGAAAACCGGCTCCGGGCGGCCTCCGGAGCGGGCGCACGAGGGAGGGGAGGGGGGTGGTCGGCGGAGCCAGGTGGGAGCCGTAGCCGTAGCCGACCCCGGGGAGCAGGGGGGGAGGGGAAGCAGCACCCAGCACTCGTCCACCCACTCGTCCACCCGCTCGGCCCCCGCGCCCTGCAGCCCTGCAGCCCACCCTCCCCGGCGACCCAAGACGCGCAGAGCGGGCGTCGGCAGGTGCGAACCACTGGTAAAGGCGGACGCGTCCTGAGGCTCCCGGGGTCTGGGGGGTGAGGGAGAATCTTCTGTACCCGTTGTTCTCCGCACAGCAGCAGCTCCGGGTAACTGAACTCCACGCAGCTCTCGTCGGTGGGATCCTTGAGCACCAGCTCCAGGCGCACCGTCTCCCTCGGCGGCCTCTGCGGCGGCTCGGCCCGCGAAGCCGACTCCCGCGGTGGGGGCGGCTGCAAGTGCAGCTGAGGGAGCGGCGGCGGCGGCGGCGGCGGCGGCTCGGGCCGCGGGGGCTCCCGCTGCAGCGACATGGGCGGCTCGGCGCGGCTGACCTCGCGCTGGGGGAGCGGCTTCTCCCGCGGCGGGGGCTGCGCGTCCGCCCGGGGGGCAGCCTCCCGCGGGGCCGGCTGCTCCGCCCGGGCCGGCTCCAGCCGGGGGGGCTCGCGAGGGTGCTCGGGCTCGCGGTCGGCCCCCGGGTAGTCGGCCTCGCGCCGCCTCACCGGTGACAGGCTAATAAACGCTACTCTGCGTGGCTCCGCCATCCCCACTGTTCTGGCCCTCCGCCTTCGCTCGAGCCGGCGCTCGGTTCTACGCCGAGTTGCTTGCCTGCCCGCCCTTCCTTTTGCTTTCCGTCGCTTTTCTTCCCTCCACCACCCTCAGTCGTCTCTGCCGACGCCACCGTGAGCGCGCACCGGGCCCCCTTCCCCGCCACTATGTTCTGATGGGCTCCACCGCCATCGCCAGGGTCGCCGCGGCCGCCATGTTGGATCCCCCACATAAATAGAAGCAGGCCGCTGAGCGGGCGCATGCGCAGACAGGACACGCTCGCGTCCACCGTCGTGGCTGTGGCTCAGTTTTCCTCTTTTCCTCCCAACAGTCTGGAGTCCAGACAGGTCAGCGGAAGTGACGTCGTGGCAGGGCCGGTTTCCTTGGAAACGAAGACGCCGTCTGCGCCCTTCCTAAAAGGGAGGGGTCTGGGGTTTCCCGAGCTAACCGTGCGCACCCGGAAACCGGCGGCGCGCGTGAGGGGCCCGGCGCGGAGCGGGCGCCTGGCTGTGCCGGGGACCGGCCGGATCGTGGCGCGGGGCCCCGGGCGGCACACACTTCCCGCGTTCGGCTCTAGGGGACCGGGGTTGTCAAGCGGGGTGCGCGAGGAGGAGACGGAGACCGGGCTGAGGGCGGACGCGAGGACCCGCCGCAGCGCCTGCCCGCCCGGCGCCCCGCGGCGCCCCGGGACCCGGCGAGGGCAGGAAATGGCTCCCCGCAGCCAGCCTGGCGGTGCGGCGGCCGCCCACGGGCCTGGCGCCCCCCGACCGCCGCCGGCTGCCCTGGCCCGGCCGCGCGGGCCGCTCAGTGCGGGGCACCGCCGTGAAAACGCTCCATAACGTTTCGCAGTTGGGGTAACTGAGTAAACGGAGAGTTCCGGGCTCGTCCGTGAAGCCTCAACTGTCGAAACCAACAGGACGCTTCTCAAAACGATTTGGCGGCGCTTTAGGGAACGCGCTCTGGAGGCAGAACGCCACCGCGCCCGACTCGAGGCGGAGCGGGGCCGTGGGCTCGCCTCGGAGGAACTCCTTGGGATTCAGATTTAAAAGGACGACGGAGTTCTTGCCCGTTTTCCTCCATCAAATAGGAAGCAAACCCGAGGTCCCGGACTCTTCTCCAGATCCTAAAGCGAACTCACGCCTTCTGCTCATCCCATTAACCGGATTGACGACGTTAACATCTATTGATGACTATTTGATGGAGTCACTATGACGTCACACTCAATGTAGTCGGTATGACGTCATAGACAGATTCTCAGCGTAGTCACTATGGCGTTATAGACAAAGTCTTAATGTAGTCAGTATGGCGTCATAGTCTCAACGGCGTCGGTATGACGTCATAGACAAATTCTCTCTCTTTTTTTTTATTCTGTTACTAACTGTATGAAGATAAGCGATGGAAAGGATGTCCCGAGGGGTCCCTCCCACCTCTGAACTGCTCTTATTTTTCCTTGGCGGTATGTTTTACCTCCATTATCTTCTTTGCAGTGGCTCCCTTTCTGATGGTGCCCTGGTGGTCTCATTTCTACATTGTTTTAGGAGCCCTTAAGTGTCCTTTAGTAGCCCTTTACTGTCCTCCGTCTCTTCCTGCCAGTCTTGCAGTGAGACTATATTAATGCTTCTTTTTTTATTTTTTAAAGATTTTATTTATTCATGAGAGAGAGAGGCAGAGACATAAGGAGAAGCTGGCTCCATGCGGGGAGCCTGACGTGGGGCTCAAACTCGGGACTCCAGGATCACACCCTGGGCTGAAGGCGGTGGTAAACCGCTGAGCCACCCAGGGATCCCCTATATAGATGCTTCTAAAACACGTTTTATTACGTCATTACTTGTCCTGGCTGCAACTTACCTACAAAGTAAATTCTGTACTTCAGGGCAGCCCAGGTGGCTCAGCGGTTTAGCGCCGCCTTCAGCCCAGGCCCTGATCCTGGACACCTGGGATCGAGTCCCAAGTCAGGCTCCCTGCTTCTGCCTCTCTCTCTCTCTCTCTCTGCCTCTCATGAATAAATAAATAAAATCTTAAAATAAAAAATAAAAATTTTTCTGTACTTCATACAGAATGCATAGTCAGTATCATCCACAATTTAACTCCACTGGCAAACTGGTGATCTGTGGGCCAAATTATTCAGCAGGTGTTACTCTTCCAAAGTTATCTTCTAACTTCTAACGCATAGTTTTCCCAACTTTTGAACAACTCACAGAAATAGATTCTACATTGAAACCCAGTATACACACACGTACACGTTCACAAAACTTGTGTAAAATAAAGAACAAAATTAATACAATATAAGTGTATTTGTAATACGATGTAGAAACCAAGCTTAATATAGATAGTACAGAAGCAAATTAGTTAAGATTTTATTTAAAGCCATGGAAGTTTATGCCTGTTCATAGGCAGATTCCAGTCTAGAATGCATGAAGACAATGCTGCATGTATATCCGGTCTACTATTGAGCCTGATTTTTATTTTTATCTTTTTTTTAATTAATTTATTCATAGGAGACAGAGGGAAGACAGAGACATAGGCAGAGGGAGAAGCAGGCTTCCGGCAGAGAGTCCCATGTGGGACTCAGTGCTGGAACGCAGGGATCACACCCTGAGCCAAAGGCAGACACTCAACCGCTGAGCCACCCAGGCGTCCCTCAACAATTTTTTTGGATCCCTATGGTTTCCTGATCATAGTCGTTGTTCCATTACTTGCAATTCCATTATAAATTGTATACAGGTCTTTTTATGCATTGTTATCCATTATAAACTGCATGAAGTTTTTTTATTGACTTAAATGTTGTTTTCTAATTTTAACTATATTTTTCTCTATACAGACTCCGCTATAAAATGGTCTTGCTACACATATCTGACATAAAAGTATTAAAGAACTCACTGAATTAGTACTCTCATCAAGTTGGACTATAACTCCATGGTAATCATTGATTCTTCTCAATGTTCTATGGTAATTGAGTTGATATTGTGTTATTGCCAGGAAGTATAATTTTGAATTCATCAGCTTCTTTGCCACCAAAAACATATGCACCAACATATTGGAGGAAGCGGTTTCTTAGCACTTAGTATGAACCATTTCTCTCCTGCCACAACTAAACACAAAGATTGTCTTTTTCATATTTGTGAAGCAACTGAGAAATTGCATCAATAACTTTATGCCTGTTTCCTTAACATATTTTAGGGACTTATATGCTATATTTTCAAATGTCCTTTATTTTTTTTAACTTTTATTTATTTATGATAGTCACACACACAGAGAGAGAGAGGCAGAGACATAGGCAGAGGGAGAAGCAGGCTCCATGTACCGGGAGCCCGACATGGGATTCCATCCCGGGTCTCCAGGATGGCGCCCTGGGCCAAAGGCAGGCGCCAAAACGCTGCGCCACCCAGGGATCCCTCAAATGTCCTTTAATTTTGAAGGTACTAATCTTTCTCTTGTTGGAATTGCATTCTCTTTTTCTTTAAAATGTAAAATCTGTTTTCTGATTATTAAAGTAACATTTTTTTCCTCAGTGTTTCCACTGTACTTCCAAATCTAGCAAGTAAACCTGAACACAGATCCTGTATTTTTCACTTTATTTATTTTTTTTTAATTTTTATTTATTTATGATAGTCACAGAGAGAGAAAGAGAGAGAGGCAGAGACATAGGCAGAGGGAGAAGCAGGCTCCATGCACCGGGAGCCCGATGTGGGATTTGATCTCGGGTCTCCAGGATCGCGCCCTGGGCCAAAGGCAGGCGCCAAACCGCTGCGCCACCCAGGGATCCCTATTTTTCACTTTATTATTTCTTTTTCTTCTAATAATAAAGCAACTTCTTTGAGAACAATTTACACAAATTTGATTAATAAATAGTACACACACACACAGTGCACACCTACACCATACATGATGACACACCTTTTCCCAAAAATGTACATTAAGTTCTTTATTGGAACTCAATTGAAAACTCTAGATCTTCTGTCAACAAATAAAATGCCCCTGTACACAATTTTATAAATCATGAGTAGTCATAATAAATAAAATTAGACTGTACAATGTAATCTGTGCAACAAATTAACCCAGGAATTGGAGTGAAATACCTGCTTATATATCAGCTCTTCCTCCTGGATTCTAGCCTTGAATAAGGATTGATGAGGTGCCCTGATACTTTCAATTAAATTAAATTAAATTCTGTTATAACCTGTTTAATTTTTCTTAAAGGCTGCTTTGACCTTTAAAATTAATTTCATAGTCTTCTAACTGGTTGCAGTCACTAGTTTGAAATGGATAGCCACCTTAGCAGTTACAGACTGAATAGGTAAGAAAAAATTAATTTTGTTGCTTTTGGGATTTCTTTAGGGGTAGAGCACATCTACCTACGCATTTTCTTGGGAATTTGGGAAATCCTAAATACTCTTGTTCGGTAGTAAGGGCCTTTGAGGAAGCTGTGAAGAAGTCAAAGTCAAATTCCCCTTGAATGCAAAGTCAGAATATCTTTGTGTAAAATCATAGATTATCTAAGGTATTCATATCATCTAACTGTAATGCTATAAGATCAAGCATTTTGTTTTGTTATATATAAAATATTCGGTGAGATCCAGCTACTCATACCTTTTTTGTGAAAAATTACTATCTACAGCATTTCCAGCACAGCATTTTGATAATTTTATGAACTCTCAAATCTCATTATTTAATATTAATGTTCAATCCAGGGTATGGCAATATTGCACCTATGGAGACGTATATTTATAGAAAAGGGACAAACCGACCCCACTGTTTAGTGCTTCTCTTTTAGTGTTATGTCCTAGCAGCAGAGCAGCAGAATTGTCTCCGAATTCTTGTTTCCCATCTTCCCCAAAACGAATATGGTAAGACGGTTGCCTTTTGGAGTTGAACAATAGGTGAAACCTTAATTGACAATAGCAGTGGCAATCAACATAAAAAGGTAGAATGGACTGCAGTTGAAATGTTATGTTAATCCTTCTTTAGTTAGTCTTCTCAGAGGAAGACACATTTGAGTCAAGACCAGAATCTTTTGGGAAGATCCAAAGGAAAAATATAACAGAGAAAGAAAAGCAAGTGCAAAGTCTGCGAAGGGAGTAAACTTGGTGAGTTAGAAGAAAGGTCTGAGTGGCTAGAGCACAGTGAAACCAGAGCCATTGGAAAATTTTAAGTAGAAGAGTAACATGATCTTAGAAGAAAAGCCTTTCAAGAAAGTGTGCTGTCAACTATCTGTTGAAT